AAGATTTCTAATTTGGGGAATTAACTTTGTCATCTTATGCTGGACACGTTCAAGTGAATTTATATCCATTCTATAGTACGGCGACCAAAACTGAACTACATAATCTAAATGGGGCCTAACCAGAGCAAGATATAGCTGAACAACAACACCAGGTGTCTTGTTACTAACACTTCAATTAATAAATCCCTGTGTCCTATTTGCCTTATTACGAACATTCATGCATTGATCCTTTGGTTTTAAATTCTTACTAATCATAACTCCTAGATTCCTTTCGCAATCCGACTTCACAATCTCAACACCATCCAACTCGTATCTTGTAACTCTATCATCGTTACCTAGCCTCAAAACTTTAAATTTATCAGCATTAAACTGCATCAGCCAATCTTTTGACCATTTCAAAACCTTATTTAGATCAACTTGAAGTTATAGTGTGTCTTCTTCCATGTTAATTTCCCTACCGATTTTTGTATCATCGGCAAATTTGCAAATGTTGCTACTCAAACCGGAATCTAAATCATTTACATATATTATAAACAACAGAGGTCCCAGGACAGAGCCTTGAGGCACTCCACTTACAACATTATCCCACTCTGACTTAACCCCATTTATACTAACTCTTTGTTTCCTTTGAAATAGCCATGCCCTAATCCAATTTAATATAGCACCCCCAATATCATGAGCCTCTATCTTTTTAATCAGTCTTTCATGTAGCACTGTATCAAAAGCTTTGCTAAAGTCATGGTACACAACATCACAATCCTTACCACTATCAACTGCTTCAACTATGCTGGAATAAAACGATAGCAAATTTGTTAAACATGAACGGCCATTTGTAAAACCATGTTGCGACTCATTTATTAATTTATGTTTTTCAAGATGAAGACGAATTGTATTTGCAATTATTGATTCAAGTAACTTTCCCACAATAGACGTTAGGCTAATTGGCTGATAGTTTGATGCAAGTGATCTGTCTCCTTTCTTAAAAATTGGCAAACACTTTATCAGGCCCTGGGGATTTGTTTGATTTTAGTTTTACTATTTGTTTAATTACATCCTCCCTGGTAACTGCTAAACTAGTCAACCTGTCCTCGTCCCCACCCACATAGACTTGTTCGGCTGAAGGCATATTGTTAAGTTCCTCTTTAGTAAATACAGATATAAAATATTTATTAAAAATACAGTACTACTCATCTCCTTGTCATTATCCGTTATTTGATCTGTCTCAGTTTTTAATGGACCTCTCCTTTCCCTAGTCTTTGTTCGATATAACTGAAAAAAAACCTTTAGGATTTGTCTTTGCTTGCTCTGCTATGCAAACTTCATAGTTTCTTTTTGCTTTCATTATCTCTCTTTTTAACATTTCTAACCAGTTGTACGAATTCCTGTTCTAAACTGACTTCCTCATTCTTAATCCTTTTGTACTACGCTCTCTTTTTACCTATAAGGTTCTTCAGATCCTTTGCTATCCACTTTGGATCATTAGTATTCGATCTATGCAATTTGTATGGTATACTACATTCCTGTGCTTTGCTTAGAATATTTTTAAATAAGTTATGTTTTGAATCCACATCGAAATCCCCTTTTACGTCACCTATCGCTGGGTTCATGTCTCGCTCCAAGACCGGCCCAACCCCCATGCCCAAGACTTTCCAATATATTTGACCCAAAAAATTTCTTAGGCTATTGAAATCAGCTTTTCAAAAATCTAACACTTTAACAGAATTTTCCCCTACAGATCTATTCCATTCTATGCTAAATCTGATTTCTTTGTGATCACTGTTCTTTAGCTCACTCCCTATCTACCCACATCTTGTCCTGCTTGGGGCCAATTAAAGTAGAGTTCCACCAATTTGGTTTTGGTGGCATCCCAACACCCACTCCTTAACATCTCCAAGTTCATGCAAGGAGGACTTAATGTATTAAAGCATTATTCCTTGTCACTGTCAGTACAGTGTAATGCAAACTGATATGGTAACAACAAATTTGACTTCATCGTAGCAGTCTTCAACATGTCATATTTCAATTCACCATAATAGATGACAACAACCATTATGACATCGTACCTCCATGTGCCTTAATGCATGTCAGTGCACCAGAACACATCTGAGCATGATGCAACTATCACAGTAGGTAATTACAGTATGTTTAATGATATTAAAAATTACACAGTGTGCAATGTTTGAATATATATCAATGCCTCAAAATGCATCTAGTCATATCACAACCTTGAGGTTACCTGTTACTGTATTGTTTTGCTAATCGTGACCACATACTGGCAAAGTTCATGCAAACCTTGTGCTAGAAATTTCCTTGTCTGGCTATTGTGTGTTCCAATCCAGTGTAGGTGGCCTGCCAAGCTGTTGCCTTCAAACACAAGTCACTTGCATTTAATTCACTCTCCTGTACATCTTTTCCAAGTGCTTTATTTACTATAGTGGACCTTCACACATTCCCATTTCCTTAGCAGTACTGCTCTTTTGCAAGTAATCTGAATAAATTAATTTTCTAATCCTTTTGCATTTTACTCTATACTATGTTTGCTCTAGGAGGGCATACTGTATACTGTAATGTTTGCAATATAATTCTCAAACCTGTTGGCATTATAATAGACTAGTCTTTAATTTTGTTGGCAACATTAGTTACAAACAAACAAAATACAAATGCAAATATTTATTCAGGTAAAGTACATACATACAAGGTGAGATACAAAAGTTAATTTATTTATAGATAGAGCTAGTACATACAATGCCTAAAGCCACAATTACGCAAAGGGTTTCGGGCAGGAAAAACACTAAGACTAAAACTTAATACTAATTGAGATTAAAGTATAAATTGTGTTGAGAAAAAATAAGAAAAAAATGAAAAAAAAAAGGGGTGGGGAAACATGGCAGAAAAAAAGCAAAAATACAATTTAGTCAACAAACAGCATTGTTTAAAATTGTAGACATGGGTAGACATTTAGGGGTGAGGTAGGTTACATTGAGTTAATTTGGTAGTACTTAGTTTTTATCTTAAACTGGTTGGGAGAGGTACAGTCTTTAACATAATTGGGAAGGTCATTCCACATTCGAGGTCCCTAGATTTGTAAAGCATTTCTAGTTTGACCAAGTCGTACTCTTGGAATATCAAATAGGTATTTATTTCTGGTGTGGTGCTCATGGGATCTGTTACAACCTTCTAGGAAGCTTTTAAGGTCAGGATTGACATTACAGTTTAGTGTTTTATATAAATAAAATACACATGAGAGGACGTACAGTAACTTAATATCTAACATATTCAGATATTTGAGTAAGGGTACTGAGTGATGTCTGGGGCCAGAGTTAGATATTGTCCTAATAGCAGCTTTGTGTTGAGTAATTAGAGGACGTAAATGATTTTGGGTAGTAGAACCCCAAGCACAAATACCATAGTTGAGATAAGGATAGATGAGAGAGCAATAGTGTCACTAGGGCAGGGTGAGGTACATAATATCTGATCTTAGAAAGAATGCCAACAGTTTTTGAAACTTTTTTTGATATATTTAGAATGTGTCCCTGGAAATTCAGCTTGCGGTCAATGGGAACGCCAAGGAATTTGCCATCTACTTTGCTACAAATTTGGGTATTGTTAATCCTGAGATTTATTTGATTTGAGGATTTATTGCCAAACAAAATATAGAAAGTTTTGTCAATATTGAGGGTGAGTTTGTTGGCAGTTAACCAGTGATGGACTTTATTTAGCTCAGAATTCACTGTGACATTTAGAGCAAAGGGATCAGGACTGGAGTAAATGAAGGTCGTGTTGTCAGCAAATAGAATTGGTTTGAGATGTTGGGAGGCATTTGGAAGTTCTTGCTTTGAAAGTGGGATGGGGCGCATAGGATTAATTTTTGGTGGATATAGTGACTTATCATAGTAAGAGGTCAGGTATTGTTACAAACAAGACTCAATTTTTGGGTGGTTGATGGAAAGGAAGGAAACTATTAGGAGAAAGTGCCATGCCATTATGACTATATAGCACTTGGAAGGAATAAGGATTTGGGATGGGACGGGGGAGAAGGAATAGTGCTCCAAACACTTGGATGGTATGGGATTGAAAGCCGACCTGCATGAAGCGATACTGTCGCTCTACTATGGAGTGATTACTTGCTTAATTTGAAAACATTTCACTTCAGCAAACTGTACATACACATGAACATTTTTGTACATGACCCACTCATGGCACCTCCCCCATCCCCACAGTGCCAATAATATCACCTATGCTACTAATGTCTTGGCTTATTTTAAATACTTAGAAGTTTGATAAAGAAGTTTTTTGTTGACTGTAAATTCTTCTATTTCATCACCTATTTTTTATAGTTTTCCTTTTTTGTTAGTCAGTACATACAAAAAAAATATAATAAAGCAAAATAAATCAATTAAATTATGGACCCAGCATTCTTATTTCAAAGATGCCCATAGTTCCTCATTTAGAAATGTCAGTGAAAGGAGCGGAGTAGCCTTGTAACAACGAAGCACCAAGCATGACAGTAAACAAAGTGTCTGAAGTATTAATCATAGCAAGATATCTAACCAAAATTTATTGTTTTATTTATGCTACAAAGCCAATGCACTTTTAGCAGATGATGAATTACAAGCTAGCTTTCCCTTTTCATGTTACCCACACAGCACTTCGCCATGCTTGGGTACAGAATTCTTGCTGCTGTATTGACAGACGATTGTGGTGGCCCAGCTGGTTTAACCATCTGGTGAACAACCAACTGTCTGTCAATATTTTTTTTTATATCTTGCACCTTCAAGCCATATGTATCCTCACATTTTCCACTAGTGCAAAGATAAACAAGGATGTGTTACATGTCAAAGGAGAACGTTGTTGAGGATGTGTATGACATGTGCTGTGGAGGTTTGGGATATAAAGCCGTGCGATGATAGGGAAGCCTATAATCCCTACAAGACACAGGATATATGGGAGACCCCGTGTGCTTTGGTTTACAGCAGCATTCCCCCGGTCTCCTTCGCCAGGTGGAGGAGTTACGGCAGCGTCTTGAGGAGAAGAATAAGACCATAGAGAAGAAGACCCAGCAGGCGCTCCAGACCACTCAAGAGAGGAACAAGCTCAATTCGGAGCTCACCGAACTCCGCGATCACATGGATATCAAAGACAGGAAAATCAATGTCCTGCAGAGGAAGGTAGGCTTTATAAGGTTTAGAAGTAAACCTTGGAGAAGTTGGTGGTTTATATTTTGTAGATACAAGTAGGTAGAATACGCTAAGTGGATTTGATGACAAATATGCAGAAGTGATAGTACTGTATGATAATGATCTTAGGATAGATTTAAGTGAAACAGTAGGTTAGTTGGGGAAGGTTCATAGACAGGGATAGGAAAAATTCTAATTACACTATGCACTATTAGGGGAAATTGCAGTTAAGGCTGGATGTAGGGAGTAGTGCAACAATATTTTAGAATAGGTGTTTATAGTGAGGTAAGTTTTACACCAGTAAAAGCTAGGCATTGTGTGAAAGTCTAGAAATGAACAATCTAGGCTTCGATATACAAGAGCAATATAGAAAAGATGAAGTATCAGATGAGCAGACAAGAAAAGGGAGGGGAATTAAGACTTAAAATGAATGAATTACTGAATAAAATATGTATAATTTTGGTGGCAGAGTGGTAAGTTAAAAAAAAAATGATATTAAAGACTGGATGAAGACTGTAGTAGTGGCTTTTAAATGTCATTTAGCCTTTAGTGTAATGTGAATAGGGTTTGCCACATATGTTAAATTTGGCTGTGACCTGTGATAACCCTCCCTCCCACTCCTGCCAGACATGACATGGCACACAAAGAAAAGGTAGAAAAGTACATGGTCTTTATTGTTCCACTTCTCTTTTAATATTACTTTCATTCATTGAGTTTTCCTGTCAGCCACATCATGTGGAATGTAAGGGTCAGTATTAACATAGTCAATTGAAAGTATGGCAAAGTTCTACTGTTAGAATACCACTGAAAATGTGGCCTCCTATGTCTGTAAGCAATGATATGTAAAATATCAGAGCTGGTTGGATTATTATAAGGATATTTAGATGAAATCAAGGAATTAATTCTATTGGGAAACGCCAGATGCACTGGCACATTAAATGCTTCAGTATTACTCGAGGACCAAAGTGTGAACATATTCTTCTTTCTCTCTCTGTATACTGTACCTCTAATTTTGTTTTTCTTTCTATACATGTCTAAATTTGTTTCATTCTTTCCTTCTATTAATGCTGTACACTACTTATTCACTATACCTATCTGCTTATATAATAATTTATCATTTGATAACGACTCATTTTGAACAAATTTATTTGAAACACACAAAACTAATAAATACATACAATGCATGATATCCCATTTTTTGCTATGAATTTAAATATTTTAACCCTAGAGCACAGTCCATAAAGTTAAATAAATACTATGTAAGCTCCACTTGAAATTACCAACCAGTTGGGTGGCTTGTCAAAGGTTCCTCCCATTTGCCCTGATGATCTTTTCCAGCTATACCTGCTTGATGGGGTTCTGGGAGTTCTTCTACTCCCCAAGCCTGGCCTGAGGCCAGGCTTGACTTGTGAGAGTTTGGTCCACTAGGCTGTTGCTTGGAGCGGCCCACAGGCCCACATATCCACAACAGCCCGGTTGGTCCGGCACTCCTTGGAGAAAATGATCTAGTTTTCTCCTGAAGATGTCCACGGTTGGTCCAGCAATATTTCTTATGTTCGCTGGGAGGATGTTAAACAACCGTGGACCTCTGATATTTATACAATATTTTCCGATTGTGCCAATGGCACCCCTGCACTTCACTGGTTCTATTCTGCATTTTCTTCCATATCATTCACTCCAGTACAGTGTTATTTTACAGTGTAGATTTGGTACCTGTCCCTCCAGTATCTTCCACGTGTATATTATTTGATATCTCTCATCTCCTTTCTAGTGAGTACATTTGGAGAGCTTTGAGATGATCCCAATAATTTAGGTGCTTTATTGCGTCTATGTATGCCGTATATGTTCTCTGTATTCCCTCTATTTCAGCAATCTCTCCTGCTCTGAAGGGGGAAGTGAGTACTGAGTAGTACTCAAGACGGGACAGTACAAGTGATTTGTATAGTAGTACAACCATTGTGATGGGATCCCTGGATTTGAAAGGTCTCGTAATCCATCCGATCATTTTTCTGGCAATATTTGCTTGGTTATGCTCCCTAAACGTTAGGTAGTCAGACATCATTATTCCCAAATCCTCTACATGCTGCTTTCCTACTATGGGGCACATTTGATTGTGTTTTGTGTTATATTTTTAAAACCCAGCAGAGTGGTGGCGTTTACGGCTTCGGCGGGTAGGTGGTTCTACGGGTTTATAACCATATGGATGAAAAAGCATCTCCTGTTTTCTGCCCTACATTGTTGAGCTTGAACCCGTTGCTCCTCGTTCGTGTTACATCTGACCTTTTGAAGAAATTGTCCGGATCGACATCCTCCAAATTGTTCAGAATTTTAAAGGTTTCGATGAGATCCGCCTTGTCATGCCTGGTTTGCAGTGTTGCTAGCCCAATGGCCCTCAACCATTCTTGGTATGTGAGATAACTAAGCTCTACACACAGAAATCACAATACAGTAGCGTGATGTATCAATGAACAAATCCATAAAATTTGTGGATTTGTTCATTGATGCATCATGATCTTGTTATTTCTGTGTGTAATGAAGTACACAAAATTTGTGGATTTGTTCATAACTAAGCTCTGGTATGGGTTTTGTTGCCTGGTGTTGCACCTTCTCCAGAACATCTATGTCTTTCTTGAGATGAGGTCTCCATGCCTGGATTCAATAATCCAGGTGGGGTGCACCAGAGACTTGTACAATTGAACAACTACTTTATTTTCTTTGAGGGTAAAGGTACACGTGATTATTTCCAGGGTTTGGTTTGCTTTTTTTTTGCTGTCGCTCTCACTTGTTGCGCAACTTTTAGTGAATGATGGATTCTAACTCCAAGGTCCTTTTCTTCATCTATCTGTTGTAAGGTAGTGAAATCAATTTGGTAGTTGTGACGTGGATTGTTGTGCCCCACATGCAAGGGCATGCATTTACCGACATTAAACAGCATTTGCCAGTCATCTGACCATTTGTGGAGTTCTTGTAGATCTCTCAATATCGCCTTCACTTCTCACTTTACTATAGATCTTAGTGTCATCTGCAAATTTGATGATGTGGTTTGTAATATTCTCATCCATGTCATTGATGTACAGTATATGACAAAAAGGGTTGCCCAAAACGGACCTTGTGGCACCCCACTTAGCATATTTTCACACAACATAGCAAGTTATGAGGATAGGTTGAAGGAACTGGATCTCACACCCTTGGAGTACATTAGAAATAAAGGAGATATGATAACAACATCATCCGCATAACTAATGATGTGTTCACTTGGCCTCCTAGTTACTGAGGTTAGGAGAGCATTATTAACACAATGAACAGAGTAGGACTGAGGACACCTTCCTGTTGAGTGCCAAGTTCAAAATCTCTTGTTACACTCTTATGCGCTTGGAACAGTGCAGATGACTTCCTGTTGGATAGATAACCTTTTATCCATCATAGGCGCCGTCCCCAACATTCATTTTAGCAAGTTCGCTCAAAATGACATGTTGGTTAGCAATGTCAAAGGTTGACTTAATATCTAGGAAAGTGGAATGTGACATTTCAATATGCAGGGTGAGGAAAATGGTAATACAGTGATGTACACTGGTCACAGTCACTAGGAACATTAAAAGTTCTTCATCCAGTCTATTTATATCATTAGCTTCTTAACTTAGTACAGAGACAATTAAGGATCTTAAGATATGAATTTCAGATGTTAGAATGAAATGTAGACAAGCATCTGTTAATGCAGGTCTTTGAAACTATTATTTTCTGCAATTAAAAGTTCATAAAGATATGAAGTTGTGCTGCTGTAATTTGTAGATATGTTAAACAAGATAAGGTTGTAGTTGTATTCTTGGAATTAAAGTAGTCTTCTTAAAAAAAAAAAAGAATAAAACAGGCAGGGTAATCTAATGATGCACTGTATTAACTTTTGTTTAAATTCAGTGCATCTCAAAAATGCAATAACTATTTATAGACATTTTATACAGTAAATCATTATTATAATAATTAAAGACTTCAAATTTCAATATATTTCAGGATGTGTTAGCCTTTGCAGTCATTGTTGGTCAGCATTACCATCATCATCACTTTCATTTCTTCATTATACTTATATCCATCCTACACTCCCTCCACACACCTACATATATACACAGAGGCATTAAATATGCCAAAGCTAGAAGATAAAGCAAAAGAGGCAAAATGATTACTGTAATCAAAATAGTAACAGGAATCGACACATTTGATAAGGAAGAATTCTTAAGACCTGGAACTTAAAGAACAAGAAGTCATAGATTTAAGCTAACTAAACAAAGCTTCCAAAGTAATGTAAGAAAATTCACTTTTGCAAATAGAGTTGTAGATGCTTGGAACAAGTTAAGTGAGAAGCCAGTGGAGACCAGAACTGTCAGTAGATTAAGGCATTATATGACAAAAATGGCTGCAAAGATGGAACACCACGAGTGTAGCTCTCAAACTTTAACTACACTTAGGTAGGTACATAAAAACATTGTGAGAGGAGCATATGCATCACTTTCCAACTTCAGACTTGCTTTTAATTATATTTATGGTTAAATACTAAAGGAACTGTTCATAATTTTTGTGCGACCAAAATTGGAATATGCAGCAGTTGTATGGTACCCAAATCTTAAGAAGAAACTGGAAAGGTCCAAAGGCCTGCTACAAATTGGCTTCCGGAACTGAAAAACAAGAGTTACGAGGAAAGACTGGAGGTGTTAAACATGGCAAAACTAGAAGATAGAAGAAAAAGAGGTGATATGATCATCACTTACAAAATACTAACAGGAATCTGTCAAATTGACAAAGAGGAATTCCTGAAACAGCAACTTCACGGACAAGAAGACACAAGTCAAGCCAAGGAAACAAAGGTGCCGAAAAAATATTAGAAAGTTTTCTGTTGCAAAGAGAAGGGTACACGGTTGGAACAAGTTAAGTGAGGTGGTGGTGGAGGCCAAAACCGTAAGTAGTTTCAAAGCATTATATGACAGAGTATTGGGAAGATG